TGCAATGTTGTTTACATATATGGGCTTTTGTATACAATATGTGCAACATTTCATGAAATTTCTCTGAACTTTACACAATTTATAATGTACATTTATATGATATATAACGCTCCATTTATGTGCATCATATTGAACAGAAATTTACACTTCTTTTTCGAACCGTGTATATAATGATATATAATGATGTATAGGTCTACTACTATGCCCGGAACAAATGATTTTGTTTCCGAGTTTAGAAATGGACGAAAAGAACACGTTCAAAAACGCCTGTCAATGAAGCGTACATGATTTTTGTTGATAAATATATAGATATTAATATTAATTTCACTGTATTTACACAATTGCGACCAAAACATTGCATTTTGCGTGATTCTACTGGTATACATAATGTATGTATTTGTACAATTCATGAAAATGTAAAATTAATGATCAACAGTTTAAAAATTATGTCACAAGGAACAATAATAGAAAAACTGCTTTCCGTGCTTGCGAAAAGTGTGCTTCCAATAAACATATTGAAGAGGAACTTACTTTGCTATTAGAATCAAATGACAAACAAGATGTTGTGTTTCAACAGTGGCTGAATACTGATCGTTGTAATTTGGAAACGATTATCAAGCCTGTTGATGAATTTGTTCCGTATATCTAACAAACTTATAACTCATGACTTTATTTACAAACAACAGTAATCTTTTCTAAGAAATAAAAAATAATCATTAAAAGAAGGCGAAATTCTAGCAATTTGTGATTTTTCTGAAAATTATTCATTCATCATCCAAAACGCTGCTCAAGGATATCACTGGAATAATTCTCAAGCAACAATACATCCATTTAAAGTTTATTATAAAAAAGACAATAAACTTGAAAATGTTAGCTTCATTATCATATCAGAAATAATGACTCACGATACAGTTGCAGTTCAGTTGTTCATCTCAAAAATGATAGATTTTATTAAACAATCGATAGATTTTTCTAAAATTACTTTTATGTCAGATGGGGCAGCAAAAATAAAAAAAAAAACTTTGCTAGTCTGTATAGATTTCAGTCAAATCATGGATAAGAAGCAGAATGGCATTTTTTTTTGCAACGTCTCATGGAAAAGGTCCCTGTGATGCCATTGGTGGCACTCTCAAGCCAATGGCAAAGAGAGTTAGTCTTGCTCGAGACTATGGAAACACCATAACAAATCCACGAGAATTATTTAACTGGGCAGTTGAACAAACAGATAAAAATATCACAAAACTACGTTTCGAGTACATATCCACTGAACAGTACATCGAAATGTCAGAAGAACTCGAAGAACTATATAACAGCACAAAGACAATATCTGGAACACAGAAATTCCACAGTTTTGTGCCTATAACTGGTGACAAAGTAGCGGCAAAAAGGTATTCTAATTCAGAAGATGAACAAAAAATATTTAACTTGATTGGAAAAAGGAAAAAATAGCATGTATGAAAACAGGTTTAAAAAATTGAAAATATATAAATAAATGATATATGAAAAATCTTGCCTTTTTTTCTCTCACATATTACCAAATTTTGCATCAGTAGTAGACAACAGAATAAGAGAATGATATTTTTTTGACAAGGTCTACATGTCCAAATAGTTTTATTGAACTCTGAGAGGGTGCTACCAATTCCAAATACGATTTGGCGAGAAATGCATCATGAGCCCTTTTCATATGAAATTCTCGATTAATCAAAATAAAATTAAGTGCTGATTAGACAAAATTGAATCGCAAATTGAGCTTCATTGGATTCTGAGATGATTTTGAGCTTTACTGGTTTAGTTTTGTGTGAAAATGGCAAAACAAAAAAAAAAAAATCAGTTCAGACATGAAAAAGTTTTTGTAAGAAAAAGTTTTTTTTTCCTTGAAAGGCCCCCATCTCGCGATGTATGGACGGTTGGTAGTAAACATAATTACCTATCTTGAGGCAAAGTTCCATCCAAATCAAACATGGCATTTTTTTTTAAAATCGACTTTAAATTTTAAAAATCGATTTTTTTCAGTGTAGGTCTCAAATGAAATTTTTTCAGTATTTTTTTTCGATAATTTGGTCAATTTGATAAAAGTCATCGAAACAACTTATTTTTGTAGGAGTTGTCATTTTTCCATAATATTTATTTGAACAAAATCGGCAGAAAAAGTTTGGCCCTTCTCAAATGTTAGTTTAGATAAATTTTGGAAAAACTAAGTATGCAAAGTGGCATATTTAGTCAAGGTCCACACATCCAGAAAGTTTCATTGAAATCTGAGAGGGTGCTGCCAGCTCCGAATACGATTTGGCGCGGAAAGGCGTCTTTTGTCTTTTTTAATTCCTTTCGGCTGCTGGGACATGTCTGCCTGATGAGGGCCCTCTCGGTTCTCCCGCTGTGGAGCTCTGTCTTATTCAGATTTTAATGGTGTGTCTTTAATATGTTGTGTTAATGTACGCTCGAGCCAAGGACCAATTTTCGGTTGAAGTAAACACTGTTAAAACTACTCTGTTGGGGGTCCTCCTTCTGAGGCCCCACCTTTCATGGACTAGATAAACTAGCCTACGGCTAAAAATCTCAAAAATAATGTCTAAAAAAAAAAAACAACACAAAATCGATACACAAGGTGGCTCCTGAAAATATCCGAAAAAAAATCGGTATTCATGGAAATAATTAATTTTAACATAGAATCTTATAGCAGCGCCAGTGGTGTAGTAGAAAGCGTGACTGCCTCTCACCCCAAAAAGCCTATGTTCAATCCGGGATTTTCTGAGACATAAAATCTCTGATCACGCCTTCCTTCGGAAGGAAAGTAAAGTCGATGGTGCTTGGTCCATGAGTTGAAGGTTCGATAGGTAGGGTCCAGGTGTGAGTTCTGGCTCTCTGGCGTCGATTGCATTGATACTCAGTACGGAAAACAAGATCGACGGAAAACAAATCATGAAAAACAAAAAACGCTTGTAAAACTGAAATGAATAAAGGCGCATTAGAGCTACCTCATGTTAGACGAAAATTATTCAATTTGAATTTGATATGTGTTGTGCATAAGCCGAGGCTAATGAAATTCTCATGTTTATTTGCCTCAGTGTACGGCAGGGTTATCCCCAAATACGGATCCTGTTTATGGAATTAGTTTGTTCCAAATGATCTGCGTTTTGAGATATTTATTTGACTTTTGCAACTATGGTCGAACTGTGCCTCACCTTATTTTTCCTCTGTTCTACGACCAGTAAATGGATCAATTGTAGTATATCCCGTGTCCTTAGTTTAGTGCATGTCGTATTACTCCATCAGTATTGAGAATTGATAAAGTATTAGATTTTTGACAGGTTTCATTCTTTCATTATTTCCTTTGTCGCAACGATCCGACTCTAATTGAAAGGTCCCGCTATTTATACCCTTCGGAGTGTTGCAATACCTTCCAATGGCACGCCCCTTTGTCAGTCAAAATTGGATTCCATAGCAACAAAATTAAACAATTAAACCGATAATGACTATGCATCAGAACCCTAGTCTTAACCACTTCGACCTTAGGGAACAACGAATAGAAGATTAGGGATCACATAGATGAAGACTAACTAGCTCATTTTTTCCTTGTTTCAAGATCATCCTCGGTGGACAAAGCCGAGTCTTATCACTATCAACAAGGCATAAAAAGTAACAAGGACTAAGATATGTTCTTTTGATTACTGAAAAATCCTAGTCCCGTAACGTACCACGAAAAGGTGATCTGCCCATGTTACGGGGCGTGCCTCACCTTACTCTTTTGTATATGGTTATTTTAAACCATTTGACGCAGTAATCCTGTTTGAAAAGTACGCTGAAAATATTTCCGGAGAAACTGGCTCTACCAAAACCTCCAGAGCGGTCCGCGTAATTTCAGCCCTCCACGTGACGAGATGGTTTGCCAGCCAAAACCCGGATGTTGTTTTTTTTTCCTTGATTTGTTTTCCGTCGATCTTGTTTTCCGTGCTGAGCACCAATGCTACCGACGCCAGGGAGGCAGCTCCCACACCTGGACCCTACCTATCGATCCATCAATTCATGAACCTGGGACCATCGGTTTTACTTCCCTGATCGTGATCATCTCTGATGTTATGTTATGCCTCAGAACATCCCTGCGGCGCCGACTGGGATTGAACCCAGGCCTGCTGGGATGAGAAAACTTCCATGGGTGTTGAGCGCTGAGGAACCACTCAATTTCAAAGTGGACGAATGGTTTCGCAGTGTTCAAGAATAATGTGCGTGCATACGTATTGCATTGGAATCTAAGATAGCTTACTTCTTTCCTTTATTTAACGTCGGTCTCTGTTCCGCAATCTAGTGCCAATCACCGACGGACATCGATTGCCATCCATTGACGGCAATCGAATGTGCAGGAAAGCAACTTCCACACCTGCGTAGGATATCGCACCCATTCAACACACATGGGCCGGGACCAACGGCTTTACTTCCCTTGCGAAGGAAGACGTGACCAGAGATTTTTATGCCTCAGAAAAATCCCACCGACCTCGGCTGGGATTGAACCCAGACCCATTGGGGTGTTAGAAAGCAGTCACGCTTACCACTACACCACCGGCGCCGGCTAAGATAGCTTACGTTCCTACGTAATCCGTAAAAGAATTAAAAAAAAAAAAAACGGGTTGCTGGACACATAATTCACAGTATACTTTGCATGTGCTGGTAATAATCGTACCATGTTAATTTTTATGAAATCTGGATATTGGGTCTGGTAAAGTTCAGATCACCAAACGAAGAAACACCTAGACAAGTTCAAACCTTATCCAACATCGTGAATCGTCGTATTACATGCTAAACTGGCGTGCGTAGGTCCATTAGTGCATCAGATTTCAATTTAGATATCAAAGCACTTTGCGATAACAGTGACAAAACCTTTTTCCTTCCAACATTCGATGTTGAATGGGAAAGATATAAATATTACTTGTATATACTACAGTGACACTTGATTTTGGACATCATTTTTAACACTTGGCGCGAAGTGTACAAATAGTTAGTGGAGATGAGAGGTAATTTGTTCCTTTTTACTAGTGAGATTTAATTATTTGGATTTACGCTCTTTCAACAGCAGCTTTAATAATAGTCCATTTGGGACTATTGTTGCACGTTACCACTGCTAGATTCATTTCGGATAATGTAAGTATAGGACCGATTGTTTTGCTGGAGGGTCTTCAAATACTGTTCTTTTAGATATGTCTTGCTATGCCAAATGGTCAAAAACTTCCAGTGACGAATGATTGCAGTTCGTATATTGTCTGTGAATATAACTCCCAGAGTGTGAGAACCTGTCCCAATGGTTTGCTATTTGATCCAATAATACAAGTGTGTAACTGGGCCGCTATGGTAAAGTGTGGACAAACTCCAACAGTTCCCGAGGTATGGAAACCTTCCACGACAAGCACTGTTAATATCCCATCAGCTCCAACTCCTTCATACACGACAGTTCGTCCAATTCAAACAACTACACCACCACCTACCACAACTAGAACCACAACAAGAACCACAAGAACTACCACTACTACTACTACACGACCTCCTCCTACAACAACCTCACCTGCTACTACTCGAGCAACTACAATAACTACGTCTAGAGTTCCAGAAAGTAGTCCGTATCCTCAGTGCACAAGTGACGGTTTCTACTTTATTCCACACCCATCGGCATGTGAAAGTTATTACATTTGCGCTTATGGCATGCTGATTCTACACAGCTGTGGACAGGGCGTGTACTGGAACTCCGAAAGCAATCAGTGTGACTTCCCGGAGCGCACCAATTGTTCAAACCTGCCAAATCCAGCTAAGCCAGAAACATCTACTCCTTCAATCGGAACAACTACGGTGTCGAAGCTTCCAAGTAAGTATGCAGAGTTTATGGAGTTAGAGTTAATAATTAATCGGATACTGTTGACAGATTGCAGAAGTACCGAGATTTTTCACCCAAGCATAGAAGATTGCAGTAAGTACTACATTTGCATCGGTTCTGCGCCAATTCTGATGAGCTGCCCATCGGACTATCTCTGGAATTCCGATATCTCCCAGTGTGATCGCCCGGAACAGGCCCATTGTGCGACGTCTATCGACTAGGGCACAATGAAGAGCAGAAATGATTTTTGTGTATAGTTGTGTAAAATATTCATGTATTTTTTATATTAATTTATTCCAAGATGTATAGGAGTACTAAGCAGCAGGTGAAAGTGTAACTAATAAAGTTCTAAGCAGTGTGTGTTGAAAGGGTTTTTATTTGTGAATACAATTACGTAGTAGGTCTCCGGGGCATGTGATCCTGTGCACTCTATATCATTGTTATTGAACTTTCATGTGATATGTCGCATAATGGGTTTTGACTCAAGTTTAGTTCTAATCACTTACAGAGAGGCTACATGTAGATATGGCCGGATATTTCCAATGTGGTCACTGTTACTAAAAATAACCACCAGAACTGTGTATTTTCAATTCTCATGTGTATCGATATGACGTAGGGTAGAGCACTACTTCGTCGTAATCGCCCATTTCTGGTCTATCGATCAGAAAAGATCAATAATATCAATGATTTCACCATGCACAAATCAATAAAAGGTTTGTTACGATGCATTAGTTCATTAGCTACAACATAAATCCTGTAAGAGTGCATTGTATGAATGTTTACGCTCATTGTTCTCAAAACAAAAGAAGCGCTCCTAGCGGATCCCCTTTTTCTACGTTTATCCGTAGGACGAAGAAAATCTAATGGCGTTTCAATGTGTTAGGACGGAATTGAAACTCATAGAATGAATTTAGAATCAAGAAGCAGTATTAGATTTTAAACAATATCTCAACAATGTGTGCCTCTTTATCAAATCTGACGGTACGTATGGAAAGATGAATAAATTTAGAAGTCATCTTTGACCGAAATATTCCATTTTATGTTTAAACTCGTTCAAAAAATAGAGGTTATTCACTTCCTCGTGGGCACTCGTAACATGTTTGGATATGGGTCTGGCCATACAGACTACTATGAAAAATATGTTCGAGGCAGTACAAAGAAAAAAGTTCTGAATGTTTACCAACGCGAAAAATCTTCTCTCGATTATTATCAAGCTATAACGGCATAAACAACGAAATTATCTGCAAATTTGCATACAACAATGCTGATTTATGCGATATTACGCTTAAATTTAGGTGAAATATCGTGTAAATTTACGCCAAATCTAGCGTTCATAACGACTAGATATCGCAGAATTTTACATGAATTTTTCATACGGTGTATATTGAGTGACTTATGAGCGATCAATGGGAAAAATTAGCCAAAAAGTAATTTTCCACAAAAGTGCTTTTGGCCAGCTAAATTGCTGAATTTTTCGATTTCATCGTTGCAGGGAAGGAATGTAAACATTTAGTTTTGATCAGAGTTCTTCTGAATGAATACGACGCGAATCTATTTCGTTCATGTTCTCATCCCCTTCGATGTGCTGTTGAGAGCTCCATAATCACGAGCTTGTAGGCAAAGCTTCACTTGGTGGGACAGTGTTCATCAGTCGATGCAACGTTTCGAAGACCTTACCTACGATTATTTGAAGCAACTCGCGCTAGATACAAAACAATTTCATAAGAAATTAACCGAAATATACGATCTCGTAGAATCTGATGGTTAATTCTTCAATATTAAACACTTGACTTGCCATGACACACAAATTGTCTTGCATTGCCATGGTCATCTGGGCGGAGGTCCACGTCTAGTGCTTTCCCCAGGAACCTTTCGCGGTCACCAGCTACCACCCGTCCAGTCTTGTGTGTATCCAGCGAGACATCTTTCATATTGCTCGCAATCTTCGATACCGGCTAGAGACCTGCAGCCGAGCATTTTTGCAAGCGGAAAACTTGCGGCAACGTCGGCCACCGAAAACTCGCGACGGACACATTATCAGCACGTTCCCAGGCTAATTCACCAACCGAACCGGGTCAAACTCGCCCACGGTGACGAATTTCTCAATAGAACAGAACTACACGTCGAAAATGTGGCATCCAAACTCGGAGAACCGGGCTTCCGGGAGGCAATTTTCGACACCGAACAATGAAACTGAAGCTGCGTCGTAGATTTTGGAGGTTAGATTCATGGTCAACCGAGCCTCATAAGGCAAACACAGGCAAAACACGATATATCACTAAATGATAACTTTATTAACACTTGAAACTAAATTTCAGCACACAAAGTGACGAATTAAAGCAAAAAATATTTAATTCACTGACGAAAAATACGCAGCAAAAGAAAAACACGTCAGCTTTCAAGCGCGGCCTACTACGATCCCGGAACCAGCGGATCGACCAAGTGTTCCGAAAAAAGGGGTTCATCCCTTCGACAGCAGAGCCGTGTTTGTAGATCCGACGTAGGGGAAACTCAATTACGTTTGTCCTACTCTACGTCAACGACATCCCTAATAAACAAGTACATTAAACGAACTGTACCGAGGATGGGTAAACTATCCCACAAATGATTTGGATGATACCCCGAAACGTTAAGCTCTCTTTAATGGTTATTTTTATTAGGGATGCTAATTGTCACCCAAACTGACGAGGACTTTGCTGCAATTTTCCGTGAGCTGCAGAAGAACTTCGAAGTTGTCAACCTTGGGGGAGTGAAGCACGTTCTCGGGATCGAAGTCGAGCGAATTCAAGCTGAACTAACGAAACTACATCTTGAAGCTCGTTGAGAAGCATGGGTTAAAAGATGCCAAACCGTCCAAGATTCCTTTGTATCCGGCCTATCTACAGCAGAAGGAGGAGGAGAATCGATTGCCGAGCAACGAGCAGTACCTCAGTCTGATAGGTGGTTTGCTCTAAGAAGAAGAGGAAACAATAGGGGGACTTAATATTATTTGTAGTAGGCTATGATTGTACATAAAATAACACATAAAGGGTGAACACGATAGAAACCAAATTTGTAGGGTGGTTCTATACATGCATTTAGCTCAGTATACATATATTGGATCAAGTTGTTGTTTGGTGAAATGCATGTTACTTTTGCTTCACGCCATTTATAATGCTTGTACAGTCATATCCGGTACCGTTTTCTCATGTTTTGTCCATTTCCTCCGCATGTCATTTACATCCTTTACTTCCTCCTTGGTCATTATGAGTTCCCGCTTCATCATGGCCCTATTAGTTTCGATTGGGCGTAGTTCTGGGCAGATCGGTGGATTCATGTCCTTGGGGACAAAATGCACCGAATTAGTCTCATACCAATCCAGCTAGCTTTTGGAATACTAACATGAAGCTAACCCGAAAAAAAAATTACAGTGAAATTTTCAGTGGAAACAATGCTCTAACATTAATATTTATTGTCGACAATAAAAATGATTGTTATAATGTTGTACTCTTCCGAAAACGGCAAAACTGCTACCTAGATGTACAATGAATGTACATAATAAAATGTTGTTACAATGATTTTTATCGTATTTTTCATTTATTTTATTGTTAACATGATTCGATCATGAACAATAATGAACAACTCTATTACAATAAAAATTGTTGTTACATTAAATATTGGTGTATTTTCATTGTGGGTTACTTCACGAACAATAAAAATAAATCTGATTGAAGCATGCAGACTATGAGAGGGTCAGCAACACTGCCAATGTAATTAAGATAGGCGCTGCTCGTATGGCTCTGGCTTTGACAGTTCGTTTGGCTCAAAACCAGGCAGTCCGCGTCCGCTCATATCTTATCCTAGACCCTCTCTAAAGCTTAATGGAGACCTTGTCCGTGCAGTCAATAATCATACAATAATAATAAAAAATTCCACCACTTGAAGATGTCAGGAAGGAACTCTCAGGTGGAAGCATATTTCATGGGTGATTCTCTCCAGTCGAATGCATTAACTTATCAACGACGCTCAACCACCAAGGAGACGTGACCTAGGGATATCGAGCGCAGGGGAGTTGGCCTGCATTTCTCACAAGTTCCGGATCGAATCTCGATCCATAACCAGTAAAAAAGGACCACCCGTAACAGACATACCACCCCCTTCCCTTCCCGGGGCAAAGTTTTATTTTTTCGATTTATTTTTTAAGTCGATAAAGTAGATCTGTCAAGCCAACACATACACTCTAAAGTACACTGTTATTTTTTTTAATAAATAAATTCGCCAACCAACAGTAAAATAACAATAATATATAATGTTATTGAAAAAAAATTATATGGGAAAATCAAGAAAATTTCATTGTTAAGATACTTAACAACCCCCCTTTTTTATTGTAAATTTTCCATTTACCATGAAATTTATTGTTTTGTACAACATAAATCAAGGTAAATTTATTGTAGACGTAACAATATAAATCATTGTTAAGACAATAATTTTCGTCTTATTGTTACATTGTTTTTTAATGTATTTTCGTTGTTATTTTTTTTCGGGAAGTCCGGCCAAAACAATGGTTTTTCACTGTGCAGCCTCAAAAATGGCAGCAGATGATTTTAGAGACATTTTTTTTATTTTCACCATTTATGATGCCCTTTGTGACGAATATTTTATTTATTTTCCACAGGTGCAGATAGCCTGCCAAATAAGGTATTTTGAAGCAAATTTAGACATTTTCTTTCTCTTAAAACGATCATGCACTTGAAACATATCTTTTCTGGTGTAAAACTCCTGTCCTGGTATATGTTGGAAGTCAGCTTTCACGTATGTTTCATCATCCATCACCCAGCAACTGTATCTAGTAGCGGTGCCGGTTGTGTAGTGGAAAGTGTGATTACCTCTCACCCCAGCAGGCCTGGGTTCAATCCCAGTGGGCGCCGCCGGGATGTTCTGAGTAGAGTCGATGTATAATGAGTCACGCCAAGAGCAAAACAGTTGAACTCGCATCACGGTTTTCGAAAGATTCCATTTCTTTTCACTTGGCAACAGAGGACTGCTACATCAACTTCAAATGACTTCTAGCGAGCAAAAAAAATAGCGGCTGTTGTAAATCATTATATCAGTGATTTTGTCCAATTATCTCAACAAAAAATAGTAGAAATTCTCATTACTGATCGCTACCAAACGTATCCCATGACAATTTAATGATCATTGCGTGTTTATGATCATTTCTTCGATAATATTTTATATTTTATTGCAATACCTTTCGTGGACCTTTCATAGCATCGTAATGTTTGTTTACTTTGCACGATAGGTAGCCGGTTTGACAGTTCAATAGGTAGACTTGGCTTCACTCTTGGCGTGACTCATT